TGAATAGCCCATGGTAAAAATGAAGATTTGAACCTGTTTGTTTTGAGACTCAGTTGACGTACTCTGCCTGATCGATTGCAAGTAATAAAAGGGTTGAGGGGGTGACTTGTATCCGAGAGAATGCTGTAATTAAATTTGGTGATAAGATGATTCTTTGCTAAATGTTGGATATCTTCAACAATTATCTTCATAGCTTGCTTGTCGATGCGTTCAAGTTTTTTTTCTGATTGTACAAAGTAAGTGAGTTGAACCAAGATATACAACAAAAGATAACAGTTGACTGGATGGTGCTCTGATAAAACAGAGTTAGCTAAGCTGGCACAGACATTAGCACACAGACAAAACAGGTTTCCTACCAAATGCTTGTGACTGGTTCTTAGTTGATTTGTGCTAAGTGCATAAACTACTACTAAGCAACAATTTCCTCTAAGGGGCTCCCATAAAAATCGGTGCCTGTTCATCACCTGTTTGTTTTAACCTAAAGCAGGTCATCCTGAGGAGATCCCATCAATTTAAAGTGTTGGCTGTGGGGAGTGAGAACAGATTTACAGGGCTGCATGCCTCCTCTGTTACCTGTCTGTTCCCCCATGGCTCTCCACAACTCCCCCACACCTCCCCCACACCTCCCCCCATCCCCACCCAAGGCCCAATGCTTAAACATGTCAGTGGCCATTGTCAGGTGGAGACATTCAATTGCAACATGTTGCATCGGCCCCATATTGTATCAAATAACGGAGCTGTCTATTTGTTCGCTGTGCAGATTTTTGGAGGGAATTTTGCCAACATGTGGACTGATGATTTTACTGTTTTTGCCTTGGACGGCTCCAAACCCAATTTGCGGAGAGCTTTTGCTGTCGTAAATGCAGCATCACATATACGCGGTACAATTGCTTTTCCCCCTTTCTTTTTACATGCATGAGAGGCGGACTGCCCAGTGCCAAAATATTTCGCAGATTTAATGTGTTGCTTATAATAAGGATATAATTGACTGCTTAGAATGCAGTACATGTATACTGGTACATGTGTTTGTCAAACTATGCAAGTTTGTTATTGCATATGAAATCACGTGCAAATGTCAGAAATTCTTAATCCGAGTACTGAATAGAACCTTCGGTAGCATGCACTTGGACTACAGCCATTATATTACAGTACCTGGGGTCGTAGCACTTTGCGCAGGATCTTAATGCTGCATTTTCCCTGTGGCTGTTTTTACGGTGCAGCTCGGGAAAAAAAGGGACTGGCGAGCTCTTTCAGAGCCACACAACCGTGTGGAATAAGATTAGAAAATTTTGCCGGGAGAAAGAAAAGTGATGTTGGCCGGACATTTTTAATGAGGGGATGGAGTGGCATCTGCGTGGGAATATTATATGAGATGTGCCTGTTAATAACACTGTATTCGGTGCAAAGTTGAATTCTCTTGGATTTTGTAGATTAGGAAAAATACGGTACATACCTACAGGTACATACAATGTAATATACAATAGATACGTATAAGATTATTTTTCTACAGACCTGTGTTAATTTCTCTGTTACCCCACTCGACCTAGAAATTAGTCAAGCAGAGCCTTTATTAAAAAAAAAAAAATTAAAACCGATGGTGCTGCCCCGCCCGAAGTGTTGAGGACGTTGTTGTGTTTGTTTCATTTTTTGGAACTTGGTCAGCAGTGCAATTTTTAGAAACACTAAAAGCGAATTGAACACCATCCTCTCCTATGATTTCTGGCTATAAAAATTAAGAAATTTCATAAGACATAAGAAGACATAAGAAAACTTTATTAATCTCCTGATGAAGAAATTACAATGCTCGCAAAGCTTATAAAAAGGGAAGTACACTGAATACAAAATACATTAGTTAAAATTTACAGATGTATTCACCCACCATTTACAAATTTACTCGGCCACCCTTTTTCCCCTCATGAAACATGTCTTGTACCGGTACATTGTATTCCCACTGTGTATGTGTTTTAGATTATTAAAGAATAATAAGTCAAGAGATCTAGTTTTAATTTTTCTGTGACAAAATATGATTACCGGTGCTGGTTTGGTACATGTACATGTACACAAAGTACGGTACTGGTATGTAATGTTAACATGCTGGTGTTTGGTTGGGATCTTTTTACTTGTACCGGTACATGTATGTTCTGCACTAGTTGACCGTTTAAAATAGCTACTGCTATGAGAAAAACAAATTGGTGCAGGTTGTTTTTTTATGACATCCATGTACACGTATATATTTTTAACATTTGTACCATATGTACATCATTATATGGCCTATGTTCAATTGTTCATTGCATAGGTCATTTGGTGAACATCTGTTCTTAGCAATTTATATCTCTGCAGAAAGATGATACATTTTCGCCTGCGCTTCACTTGTATCAGAATCTGTCTCTAGCATTATTGGGTTACAAGCCCCCAATAACTGCGACAAATTTACAATGATGTACTATCTGAAAATGTTGGGTCCAGCGTGGCCTTATTTCTTTTGTTGGAATGGCTGGTCTCATCAGGCTTGCCACCCGGAGCACTTCGGCCATCAGACCATAAAACTCAACCTAGTTAACTCTTCATTGTTAGCCACCCAAAACAGATCCATACTGTCCCTGTCCATGCGACAAAGGATTCACTGCAATTGATCTTATTCAGGTTGATCGGTTGAGTAAAGGCCCATTACGATCTCCCTACCCACAGCACTGATTTCAACCACCCCTGCCATTTCTTGTTGTCCCCTCTCTTCTTTGAGACACAATAATAGGATTATCGTGCGAGCCGCTTTAGAAGTGAGGCTCAAGGAAGCCCGAGGAATAGAAAAGGAGGGGTAAAACCCCTGGGGTTGAATGGGGATGAAAGCATTAGGTACAGAGGGAAAGCTGCCTTGGACTGACAGCTTTGAAGAATGGAGCTTGCACAAACAAACTCAGACCTGGTCGTAGACAATTCAACCGAGGTTGAGACTCCATTATAGAAAAAAAATTCACAGTGATAACAACATATAAAACAGTTGACAAACAAAAAAACTAGGCTTTCATTAAAACAGCCCGACTGTTGATTTTCCTCAAAAGCCTAGGTAGAGCTGGGGTGTGAATAAGTAGAAAATTGCCCTGCCTGTTTATCGGTCGATGGACCCAGGCTATATGCCCAAGCAATTTACAGCCCCTAAATTGCCCCATTTTGGGAGATGCAAGGGGGCCGCCAAACGCACCGATGCGACCACATCTTTTGTGTACATACTGTTTCTTCATTCAAAAGCAACAAATTGGAATTTGCCCTCAGTCAGGTGGTCTGTTTCTAGTTTTTGCATCCTTTTGTGTGGGTCTTCAGTAGTTTGTAGCAAACGATGCTGGGGATCAAGTTTACAATGATTTCACCCATTTAAACTTTGCTAAAAAAAAACATACTGAACATTCACATGTAGGCCCAGTTTAGCACTGCAGCATGTACAGTGTACATGAACATGTACCATACATGTACATTATTAGTGCTTTTAATTTCTGGTACTGAAACCAAGGATTCCTCAAAAGCGCCCCAGGCACTGTATAGGTAGCTCGCAAGCCTGAAGAAACCTGTGTAGAGATAGGACAATGAGAAAAAATTACAGTTTTAGAGGTACCGGTAGGAGAAAAACCCCAGAAGGGTATTCTGGGGGAAACTTCCCACAGATTCAGATAGGGACTGAAAACCCAATCCGCATGTTGGCCCAGGCGGGATCCGAACACGGGTCACAACAGTGGAAGACAAGGAAAATACCAGCGGTACCGCTACGCCAACCTGACTTCCTCACATACCGGTACATACATGTACATGTACATACCGGTACTGTACCATACATCATCGTATACATGTTTCATGATGCATACATGGAACATAGGCTATATGCTTTTCTGTCAGTTCGTGGAGTTGTACATGTACATTGTGTACATTACAAATTACATAAAATAAATGATGATATTCTAGTCCATGGCTTGATATTCATTTGTTGTTGGATACACTACAGTACCCTTTTAGTGCATGTACAGTTCAGACACATATTACCGTATCTAAACTTGTTCAAGTGTGTCCTGATGTTTGCTCTGTACTGTTCTGTATCTTTTATCAGAAGAACTTCTATTTACGGACAGTGATTACATTGGATATTAATCATGAGAACAGATAAAGGCGTTTGTGTACTAAGTACAAATATATAAAGATTGGTGTTCTACAAAATTATCCATACAGTCAGATATCAGAAACTTTGTGAGGTTTAAATAAATGTGTGTGTAAATGTTGTGGTTTCCCAAATTGTGGTTTATTTGATGATTTGTACTGAAAGGCTGTATCCTCTCTGAGTGATCCCTGTTTGCTATTTCCCAGGTTTGCAGCATTGCTAATGTTGCTAGCATCATGACTTAGGGTGTGACCCCTGGCTGCATGGCATATGGGTTTATGGCTTCTGACCATCACCCCTTGAACAAAGATCTTGACAAACTGGAGAAATGCCAACATAGGGCTGGATAGCTCTGTTTGGAGCACCAGTACGATATTCTGGAGGTTGCAGATTCAAAGCCTGCTGCAGTCAATTTCTTTGCTGAGCATTATACAATGTAATTGTTAGAAGGAGTATAAACAAAGAATCATGTAACTATAAAAGGTATAGGTTCTCAGATTAGCACTTCGTATATACATGCATACATCGTACAGTACACATCCCATATTAACTACTGGTATGAGCTTACATGGTTTGCTCAGAAGCTCTGCAATCATTGCTATCATCTCAGACTAACTAGAGATCATAGCTGAAATTCTTGGGTTTGCAAAGCCATGATATTGGTCACTTGCAAAAATTTCACTAGAGTGCTGTTGGGAACAGCATGACAATAACTTCGGGAAAGCAAACATTCAAAATGTTACATTTTGAAGCTCTAGTTGCGTTGAATAAGCTTGATGCATAATTGCGTATTTTTTTCTGGATATGCCAAACGGTCAATTGCAAAACATTTCAGGTTATTTAAATTTTTTTTTCTCAGGCGTGCCATACTCAAGAATCAGGACCTTCTACAGGAGACGCCCATCTCCAACATCTTCTACGATGACTTCTGGGGCACGCCTCTCATCCACAGCGGCAGCCACAAGTCCTACCGCCCTCTCTGTGTCCTCAGCTACCGCTTCAACCACCTCCTGGGACAGCTAGACCCGTTCGGCTATCACCTCGGCAACGTGCTGCTTCACGTTCTGGTGACTGCCCTGTTCACTTACGCGGCGAGGGTCGTGTTGTTACGGCGAACATTTCCGGCATGTCTCGCCGGGGTGTTGTTTGCCGCGCATCCAGTCCACACAGAAGCGGTCGCAGGGATCGTCGGGCGGGCCGACGTCGGAGCCTGCCTCTTCTTCCTGCTGTCGTTCCTCTGCTACATCAGTTACTGCCGGCGGAGAGATTCTTCCAAAGAACATTCAAAATTCAGGACTAGTGACGAGGACAAACGTCAGCCCCACCTACCGGTATGGCACAGATATATTTACCTGACTCTCAGCATCTTGTTTGCGACAATGAGCATGCTGACCAAAGAGCACGGAATGACAGTCTTAGCAGTGAACATCGCCTACGATGTGTTTATTCAGAATAAATCAAGGCTTCGAGATCTTCTTTCTTTTAAAATCTTTTCAAAGGTGAGATATTGATTGTTGGATTGTGAGAAAAAAATTCCCTTTGAAGGCAGACATGCAACTTTTTCTTTGATTAGCAGATGTCCTCTTTTTTAAATTCTCTTTTGTGTCATTCAAAATTGCAGAACGCTGCAGAGAATCTGGTGAAAACTTGCATAATTTCCTCTTAATCTGCCATTTCTCAGTTGCATGCATGCCTGATAATTAAGGGAGTGAAGATAATAAATTGGACATGAGATGGTTACAGGGAAATTTTGTAAATGTGAAGAGAGCTGAGCATGTTAAGTTACATGTACATGTTAAGGTTTGTTTCATAAGTGGAACAGAGCCATCATATTTCTGTGTTTGGAAATGTTTTATTTTGGTTTTTAACCTCACAGTCCTAGATTTCGTCAAATACACCAGATGATTTGGAGGATTCTGTAGAATTAGGAAGGTACATAATGTACCAGTAGAACCCAACCACCATTGCTTCCCCTAGGGTCTGATCTTCCCTGAAAGTAAAACCAAGAAGAAAGTGCAAAGGGCCTCTAGCAGCATCAGCCCATTGGTTTATTTTGGAGGATTCTTGAAGGCTCCTTGCAAAAATTCCTAGGGAGTTACCTGTAGGTTGGGGTTGAAGAATGATGTTCTGTTTTTCAATCAAGCAGGGGAATATATTTCCAAAAAAAAAACATTTGCAAAAGTAGCAGACAAATATTTAATAGCCAAAACTGAAAAGTTGGTACCAATGCGTACTACATGTTATTGCCTGTATTTTCGTACGTACCGTATACACTGTACATATACAACGTGTACTGGACACTGGCCCGTACACGTACAATGTACAGCATATCTAGAATTTACATGCAATCTTCGGATTGGATATTCCATTTACAAAGAGATTTTATAGGCGCCATAAAAGCCGCCATATTTTTGTTTGGTTCAGTTTCTGCCCGCACAAACAAAAGGTACCTATCTGTACCCAGTACCGACAGTCGTAAATGACGTGACTATACCGGTATATTGTAAAGAAGGTGAGAGTTCTGAAGTACTTTCTAGTGACAATTAAATCGGGAAACCTTTACAAAAGTAGAAGGACCCAAAAAACTGCACCTGCAAAAGTAGCCTTCAAAATTCAGACAGCTACTGATAGGTCCATTGATATCAGTTACTTGCAATAAATCGTTAATATTTTAACTTCACACGTACGTACATGTTCATGCCCTATACAATTGGTGTCCCCTTTCTCTCAGAAATTTAATATTTCTGCAAATGTGAACAACACTATACCGGTAGATTACATTGCCACATGTAATTCACACTTCTTTTTGAAAACAATAAACCCCAGTTCTGACCTGGGCCCAATTTCATAGCGCTGCTTAACAGTAAGCAGAAAAGTTGTGCTTACTATAGCAGAAAATCATGCTGCGCTGCTTAAGCACTATTTCATGCTAGCGGTTGGGCGCGCATGGAGATTTCTATTGTTACGTCACTGATTTAAGCCAAGTTTTCTTCTGGGGTTAAGCGTGCTTTTGCTGTGCTTACTGCTTACTGGTCCCTATGAAGTAGATGGAGGCTCGGTAAGCACAAAGTCGGCTGTTAAGCAGCGCTATGAAATTGGGCCCAGGGTAGACATTGTTAAAAGGATGAACCTGTGTTCCCAGGAACGGAGTGTCCATTTCTCTTTCAAAGCGATTGGGCCAGACTCAAGTCCATGAAATGCTGCTGTGGGGGGATCACCACACCTCCTCCACAGCGAGTCTGTTACCTTCCCAGCAATGAATAATGCCGGTACCCATTTAACACCTGGGTTGAGAGGAGTGATTGAGGTAAAACACCTTACTCAAGGGCACAACACGTATGGCCACGGCGGGGCTCGAACCCACAATCTCACGATCATGAGGCCTACAGGTGCTCTACTGATGCTCCCTCTCCCAGAGTATCGGGTCTAAAACCTTGGTAAATTTTCCATGTTGTTAATGTCAGTTGAGAAGTTCATGGCCAATGTTGCAGGTTTTAGAAAATGCTGCTGTATAGAATGAAAAGCGTTTTTGTTGAAACCATTATCTGCTTGTGATTGAATTCAGTTTTCGTAAAGCGTACACCGTATCGTGAGTTGAATGAAGAACAGTAAAATGCACCATTTATTCATGTTTGGAGCAATGCTCTTTGTGCTTGTTACGATTATCCCATGTCATGGTTCATGAACATTCACATGTTGTACACCTTGACGTGGGAAAGAACTACGGTAGTGTTAAAAAAAATCTCCGCTTCAGTGCTCACTGATTGGATACTTTTGTGTAAAAAAAAAGTCGGTTAAAGTGGGGGAAAAATGATTTTTTTTTTTTTCTGTGGGTGACGGTATTGAAAGACGTTTCTCCAAATTCTGTCTGGATTAATAGGTCAGGGGCTGTATATGACGAGAGGCACTTTGTTCATTGTGGGTACTAGACAACCTTTTTATGGTGAGATGGAGTTTTTTGCAAGTACTAATATAGCTGTCCCAGTTAAGTTGAGGAGGTTACTTGACTAAAGAATCAACGTGGGGAGGAGATTTTTCTTCTAAAGGAAGAGGCCACCTAAGCAAGGAGGGAAAAATAAGTGAATGAATGTTTTCTATCCTAATTAACCCTCCTACTGGTAGATCCTGCAGAAGTCTCACTGTTACAATTTGGGGAGGATGCAAAGTAGGGGAGAATGCAAAATTACAATTGAGTTTTTTTCTCTCAATGTTTAACAAGGTTTTACCAGGTTTTATGGGGTTTTACAAGGTACATGTACAATGTGCTTCAGGGTTCAACAGGTCTGAGTTTACTGCTCGTGTAATGTGTTTTTCTTATAGTACATGTACATGTATGTAATTTCAGGCTTAAAGGGAATATACATCATTTGCTTTTGCTGTAATTTTCAGAAATGGATGGAATTGGGGGGTTGGAAATATGTAGCAAATACAGTTACATGTACACTGACTTTTTTGAGGTTTTGGGTTCGAAAATGCTATAAAAACCAAGAAAAACAATCATTTTCCTGTAGTCTGGTTCCCTGACTCCATATAAGAAGAAACAGAGCAGTTTACCTACATTGGGGAATTGTAAGGTCAGGGAACCAGTGTAGCTGGCTTGTACCCGTTCATAGGTGTGTTATCGATTGCAAACAAGTGCGATGGTCAATTGGGGCCAGTATTTGAAAAAAAGCCAGTTTTTTTCCAACGCTGGTTGGCCGACCAGCGTTGGAAATTGATACAAAAATACCATTTTTTTTTTAAATGACAGTATACCAGGTGCCATGATTTTACAGGATGCTTTACACTGTCATATCATTCACTAACAGTCCAGCAAGGTATTTCAAAATGATTTGGTAGTTTTATTTTTTTTGATGATTGCAAATGTTGTATTTTCCCTTTAAAGATGTCCCTAATTAAATGTACAAAGAATACATGTACCGGTACATGTACAATGTATATTACATGTATACATCCCTTGGAGAAAGTTGGAAGGGTTAGAAATCTTCTTTATAGAAAAAAGCCCCAGGGAGTTACAGTTAAAGGAGAGCACAATTGGGCATTGGCTTCAGTCCCACATTCAACAAGTATAAATACATGCAAACTCAATCTACCGCACAGCTGCACGTTTCAGTGTCCCAGGGCTGCGACCTGGGCAGTATCGGTGACATGTACATGTAATTCACACACATAATTTGCCCCTCTCTAATGTTACCAAATTTTACTCAAATAAACCGAAGAGAAGAAATAATAAGCAGGGCCCGTGTTGAACATGTTAATAATCATTGCAGTCTGAGAAGTGCTGATGATTGACACACTGACTAACCCGATAAAGGGCAAAGAGATTTGGTGTCCTACAAATGTAGTGTGCTGTCATGAATTCACGTCGTAATTTATTATTCAATTTTTATTATTTGTCCATATTGTTGCCAAAAATGAAACATTTATGATGTTGAAATTTGGCACGTAGCTCACGCGAGGTTTGGACATTGTGTTTTATGTTGGGTAACTAATGCCATGTTTGATATATTGATGTTCTAATTATGCAACACCAAAGGGAACTTTACGAGCTGTGATCAAAAAAGGTCACATACATACATGTACATGTTTGTCAAATTGAATGTATTATACGTAAATTAAATTATGCAATGATGGAATGGATAGATGACGTACATGCGGTAGTGTGAGGACATCATCCCATGAATCACGAGCTTCGAGGAAAAAGAGTGTTTTGCCTAAATTAGCTTGTTGCTCAATGACCCTATTCCACATATCATTTTGGGATGAAAGTTGAAATGAGTTGTCAGAATTAATTGCAGAACCTCTGGCTGATCGAGGATTTTAAAATTTGAGGTAACTGTTGAAGTCCACACTTACAGAGACCAACTGCCTTAATTTAACCCTCCTGCTGTTTGAACTGTCACAGACAGTCAAAACTTTTGTCCACTTCCCCTGCCATGCCTTTTACACAGGCTAGTCAGTCAGATCATATTTCGAGCAAGTACTGGAACTGTGACTAGTCAAATTCAGTCAACCGACAAAAGCAGCCATTAAGTAGTAGGCACAGCTGGTTTATCAATCACCTACAGTCAAAGCAAAGTCACAGCCACAGTCACAGTTACATAAAACAGTCACAGCCAGTCAATCCTGCTTTATGTGTACCGTAGGCTGGGAGCTCATAATCGTAAAAAAAACATTCACTTGACTGATATTGACGGACAACTTTGCACAGAGTGTATGTTTGCATTGGAGAGTTAAACAAAGAGTCATGATTACATTTTAAAAGGAAATGTGGGATTTTTTCAAAGTATGCAAATGGTCAAATGGAAGGAGGTTGTCGAACCCCACCCTCCCCCTCTTTTTTTTTTTTAACTGCATGCGTAGAAATTCATTCAAATTCATCAAAGGGATATTAAAATCCGATTTTCAGCCAAGGAAATTAATTCTGGTGAAAATAAGAGCATTTTGAAACTGTACTTTCAAACTCGAAAACTTTAGTACACAAAAACAAAGAAATGTC